TCACCACCACATCACCCTGGCCAACAATGAAGCTGACCACAAACTTGAGTAACTTAAATCACCTCACATACAAGGACCCAAATTCAACCTCTATTAAGTTTAGAGGAGAAAAGAAAAAATACATATGTTTTTCAATTTATTTTTTTTTTATTGAAATTACGTTAGAATAGACGCTAATATCGGTTGGTCTTCCTGACAAAATGTATACATTTTAATTCCAAGTGTGTGAGTATGGTGCTATATATCATATAGTATAATATATGTATCATATAATATAATATAATATTATAAATAATATATATTCTTCTTTAGTCGGATGCTCGTTTCAGTGTACATCTGTCTGCCAAGGTGGTTGATGCAGATGCATGCTCAATCAATGTTATGACTTTTCAAAAGCCAAAAGCTAATCTCTCGTTTATATATCATAATCCGTGACTTTTACCGCAACGAAATTAAGCAGACCAAAATTATAATTTGTAGGATAGAATGCATAATCTAGTGTGAATAGCAGTTCACTACGGCCAGGAAACTGAAAATCATCATGTTCCCAAAAAAACATCGGCTCGCTTGCTCGTACAAACGGGTGAAGTCTCGATAAATTAAAAAAACAAAACAATCAAGCAAAAAGCACTTAATTTGCATCATCCCATATATATATATATATATATATATATATATATATATATATATATATATATGTGTGTGTGTGTGTGTATAAATAAAGGATAACGCAAATTGAGTAAGCTTAAAATGTAAAAGTACGTTTTTTTAAAGAAATGAAATCAATTTGATAAGACAAAAGGAAGAGGAAAAACGAAAGAAAAAGGAAAAGAAAAAATTATAATAAAAAGTAAGAAAAAATTTCAATATAAAATATAAAAAAAAGGGAAAATGGAGGAGGGAAGAGAGAGAGAGTAGGAGGGAGGGAGAATGGGAGAGGGAGGGAAGGAAATAAAATTAAGGAAAGAAAGAATAATTAAATATGAGCCGATAAGTTAACCTAGAAATACATTTTTCTTAATGGGTGATCAGAATTAAAATAGAGTAAAATACATTATTTACATTATTCAGACTATTGTCCTCACCTTTGTCGCCATATTTATTACAACTTTTCGGCCGTAGTACGCTCCGGCCTTCTTCAGGTGGTTGGAATATCGAACTGAACCCTTTATTTCGCTCACTGGGGTAGATTGTTCTAGTCCCACGTGACATTTTTTTTTAATGAATATCAGTTATCAGTTATCTCCTGTTAATTTCCCTCTGAAAGTTCTCCACTGACGTAACAGGGTATTGAACTCACACTCTAATCAACGCCTTTATCCATGTATGCCATGTGTCCTTGAGGACATCTAGGTATGGATTTCTGGGTATTATAAACCTAATGTCTTCAGCAACCATTTTTACCAGTGCTCATATTGCAATTTTGCTGTTATCATTCCATGTTTTTACCAGAGCTCATATTGCAACTTTGTTGTTATCATTGCTTTTCTCTGTCACTCCTTATTACTGGTTCCCATATTGTATTCATTTCTATGCTTGGTCGGCTCAGGAGATTTTTTGTGGCCTATGTGCTGATTCCATAAGTTTACGAATTTTCCAATGGTGTTCCTTGTCTATGATCTCAAAATGATCCCACAGAGGGCGGTGATCTCCCTCCTCTCTCCATATGTGGTCAGCCACGCCTGATTTTTCCACTTACCCTCGTGTTACAGCTTTCTGGTGTTCTTGAAGTCTTACTTTGAGGGGGAGGCCTGTCTCTCCTTTATATTTCTTTCCGCAGCTGCATGGGATAGCGTACACACAGTCTTTAGTCGTATTCTCCTATATGGTGGGGTCTTACTCGGGAGAGATATCTGCGAAGTGTCGTCAACCACCTGAAGAAGGCCGAAGCGTACAACGGCCGAGACGTTGTACTAAATGTGGCGACAAAGATGAGGACAATTATTAGAATAATGTAAATAATATACATAATACCTCATCTCAGAAATATAGACAGATAGAGTAATATGTCTAATATCATCTCATTTCAGACAGCAAAAAAATCATCACATTTTAATTTTTTAATTTCAAATTAATAATAATAATATTATTATCCGACATC